AATTCCCGAGGGCGGTGAAACCGCCGAACGATAACGTTAGCACCCCATTGATTAATCCATTCCCTTGGGGGCGGACGGGAACAACGAATTCCCAGGAATCTTCTGGAAGATTGAAGTAACCCGCAGGCATTCTCAGGAATCCTTCAAGAATCAGATTGGAATCTTCCGGGAACTTTCAAAATCCGGAGGAATCTGGAGGACCCCACAGGAATCCTTGAGGAATCTCCCAAAATCTGATTTGAACCCGATCGGGGTCCTGTTAGGGTCCTGCTGTGATCTTGGTGGGGTCCCGCACTGAGGGCTTTGGGGGCGGTATCTAATTTCCAGGGGCTGGAGAGTGATATATTTCCACTGAAAAAGCAAGGGAGGCGCTCCTCCTGGGCGTGCCCAATGTCCTGGGCTATCAGATCTCATAATAGAACGTTGGGTTTCTGAACCCTCTTGGGCCGTTGTGTGGGCCTCTGGGAGTGACGGGAAGCGTTTTGTTGGTCGTCTCGGAGCGGTTTTCGGCGCCTCCTGGGCGTTCTCGGACGCCTGGAAAACAGAATAACCGAAGAGCCCGAAATTCGCCGGCCCCCTTGTGGGGCCACCAAGCTGTAAGCTAAGCTCTGCAGTTTCCTGTGCCGGTTGCAGCTTCCGGTTTCCACTGTTACAGTTCTTCTTCTTGCTGCTTACTGTTCCTTGTTGACTTCTTGCTGCTTACTGTTCCTTGTTGATGGACCGCGCGAGGGGGGAAGCCCAGAACAGGCATTGTTACCACGCCGAAATCGTATTGTCTGAATTGCTGAGGTAGGTAAAAATTGAAACCACTCACGCAGATCGGCGGGGTCAGGGTCCAAAAACACATGGGATTTGCCACATTTCTGAAATTCGGTGGCACCCCTCACGCAGATCGGCGGGGTCAGGGTCCAAACACACAGGGGATTTGGCACATTTCAAAATTCGGTGGCACCCCTCACGCAGATCGGCGGGGTCAGGGTCCAAACACACAGGGGATTTGCCACATTTCTAAAATTCGGTGGCACCCCTCCCTCACGCAGATCGGCACCCCTCACGCAGATCGGCAGGGTCAGGGTCCAAAAACAGATGGGATTTGCCACATTTCTGAAATTCGGCGGCACCCCTCACGCAGATCCGTAGGGTCAGGGTCGAAAAACAAACAAGTCCAGACACTGCTTCACGGCGAAGCCAAAGCCTCATGACTTCGTTTTCCCATGGCCCATTCTCCGAGAGAGGGGGCCGGCGGCAGGGGGCGAAGCCCTTACGGCTCCTACAGAAACCAATGTGAAATCAACCTTCTCTGCGTCTCGACCTCCTCTTAGCTCTTTGGGCCGCCTTCGGGCGTCTGGCGGGGGTCCGGGGCAGCCGGAAGCCATCCTGGACCATCTTGGGGGTCTCTTGGGACCGCTGCCGACCTGCTTGCACGGCTTGGCAGGGACCTCCAGAGGCCCCGAACTCTCGCGGGCGCCGGACGCCAGGAATCTCGTTTGGGGGAGGGGGGCCGCACCCTTTGTGGGCCCCGGAAACGGCAGGGCCGCTTTTTCACCATTTCCCAAGAAATGTCCCTTGAAAAGGGAAACGGTAAAAAAACGGCGGCTGGAAACGGCAAAAAAACGGCTCTAGGAGTGGAACCGGAGCCGGAACCGGTCAAAAAACGGCGACGGAACCGGTAACAAAAACGGCGTCGGAACCGGCAACAAAAACGGCAAAACGGAACCGGTAAAAAAACGGCCCTGTCGTTTCCAGGACCCACTGAGCCCTGGATCAACAAAAATGTATGAAGTGGAACAGGTTGGCGTGACAAGCCGCAGGCCATGGTCTGCGGTGGCGCAAGCGCGGGAAGAAGCCTGCAGGAGCGCGCAAGACTCTCCACCATACGGCTCCAGGGACCAGGGGCCCAAGATCAACTGACAGCACGGCCCACCCACTGTCTGACCTACCACATCCCGAGAACGTATTGACTGCTTGGTGACGGCAAGTATACGCTCCATCGCAATATGCTTGTTCTTGCAGAAAGGCAGCGACGCCAGAATTTGCGGTACGACTTACAAGACACGCGCGACCGTGTCTGTGTATGCTCTGGTCAATGGGAACCCGTATCAGCCAAATCCAACATTGCATAACTGTACGGCGGAGCATCCACACAACCACCTGAATAATTCTCTGGGGCTTAGCCGTCAGCGTTGACCGCCCCGAGTCTGTAGGTCTGTCACTTTGGAAATAAACTGCACCGCCTGGTCTGCTGGTAACCAATGCTTCAACAACATTTGTGACAATTTGTTCAGGGCTCCGGTTGCCACAGCGCCAGTAGACCCACATGCTGCCAGGCACTCGGTTACCACAGCTTCAGGGGACTGTTCAATCATTGTGCTGCGCTGATCACCAGCTTCAGCCGCCGCACTTAAGTAACTTGGTGTCGTCGTTGCGCCTGCGATGCAACCTACGACGTCTACGTTGTGTGGTCTCAGTTCGTACCACAAGGCTCGACTTAATGATGCAATGAAGCTCTTCGTTGAAGAATAAGTCGGGTAATAAGCAGTACCAACGGTTCCGGCCATAGATCCCATAAGAACCATTCCACCGTGGCCGCGAGTCTTCATATACTCAGCAATCGGATGCGTCATTGTCAGGAGTGTATTGACGTTGAGCTGGGATACCTTCAAATGTTCCTCCAATGGCTGCGTCAAGAACTCCCCTCCTGCCATGTAGGCAGCATTGAACACAAAGAAACCAACATCGCGATCCGAAATGACCTTATCCAACACATCCTGCTTGGTAATGGTCATGAGGTCCTGCACCAAGGTCACTACTTCCACACCGTGGCGCTGCCGAATTGCTTGAGCAACGGTTTCAAGCTTATTCGGCGAGCGTGCCATCAGAAGCACGTTCAGCCCGTGAGTCGCCAGTTCATCACCCCAAGCAGCGCCAAGGCCTTCACTAGCTCCAGCCACCACGGCCCACTTACCATACTTCGCAATTCGCTCTGGCGTCATAGGCGTGGTGTAAGGCATCAATGACCAGGCCGAGAAAGCTGCAACGAATACAACAAGCCCGGAGCACGCCGTTGCCACAGCCATGACGCAGACAGTATTGGCACACTGGCTGTCTCGAGCCAAAACTGTTTGAGCCAAAAGGGCTACTGGCCGGTATGTCTGCATTTCCCTACTCAGGCTACGCCTGGGGTGCTAGCTCCTCCTGTGAAACCAGTGTCGATAACGCACACACGGCCAGCCAGGCCGCGGGTAGTTCCTCGGGGATTCCTCGGGTGTGCACTGGAGGTCCTCTGGAGTGTCTCGGGTTTGCCGCAGGGTTCCTCGGGGATCGTGTTTGCATTGATATGCATGCTTTGTTTTATCCAGGTGCAAACTGCTGTGCGTTGATCTGCCTTGCTTGAAGCTGCCATGCTAAACCATGCTATGCCGCCCCATACTGGCACTGCGTAGCGATATGCTGCGCTATGCGACGCATCACTACGTAACGCAATGCAGCGATAGTGTGTGGCACTCCATGCTGTGTTATCCAATGGTTTGATGCAGAATGCGATGATGTGCGATGATAGGTTGCGCGATGCGATGGGGGAGCTATGTGCTACTCATTGCAAATCTTAGATTCAATATTCGTAGACGATGTGTGCCATGCTAAGTGCAATGCGATGCACGGCCATCGTGTGCTCTGCCATGCATTGCGATGCTGCTCTATACACTGCTATGTTGAACAATGCTCTACTACACTACAAAACGCCATTGGTTGGCAATGCAATGCAAACTACGCGACCACGGAATGCTACGGAATGACACACGTTATAACGCCATGCGCGTCAACGTCTGTGCATTATATAACGTGCCTGTGCCATGCATTATAGTTCACGCTACTGTTTGCCCTGTCACGCTATGCACTGTCACGTAGCGATGTGTCCTGCTATGCTATGACATGACAGGCTGCGCAACGCGCAAAGGCCAGGTTGTGCGCGGGCATGGTACGATGGGCAATGATACGGCTTGCTTGACATGGCATGATGTGGTACACGGTACTATGATGCGGAATGGTTGGTTGTGCTACACCACGATGAACCATACTTCGCTTAGCTATGCCACGCTGTGCAAGGCGACGAACCATATGGCATGACATCCTCTCGTTTGCCACAGAATGCTAGGACTTACCATGCAGGACTGTGTGGTTCTAGTCCGCGGTGCTGGGTGCTGACGCACCAAAAAAAGGTTGGCAGCGACATGTTGTACATTGCTATGCGATTCTGCGCAATGCGTCCTTCGTGGCAAAAGAAAACCACCGCTCAATGCGCTGGATATTGGAACATTGCGTCGCGTATCTATGCGCGCAAAAAACAGCCTCCGTGGGGTCGCGACGCGCCCATGTTATGCGTGACTGAATTGAATGCGCCTTTGGGTTTTCGAACTCATTCCCTCGGAGGATTTCCCCTCGTCGGCGGTGGTGGGATGGCAGGGGGTCGGGGTAGAAACCGAATGTTGCATCGAGCTTTCCGCAGCGAGGGCCCTCTGCACGTAATCTGCGTGGTAGGCACGCCTGCTGCGGCGATAGACATTATCCGCTGCCTCCTCTCACCGCCACTGTCCCCCCCGAAAAAAAGTCAGCAACAACATAATGAGCTTGATGCTGCCACAACATGACACTGGTTACAGCCTGGACCCTACGTAATGGGCGCGCTCACCCTCCACGTGCACTATACCAAGAGCAACCTACGACATGCAATCTGCATGGCGCGACGCATGGGATGCAACCCGTTGCGGCGCAACCTACGAAGCGCAATTCACCAATGATCACAGTGAGTTGTCAATTCCTCTGTTCGCGCAATCATCCCACCCACCCGCCCGCAACTTGGTTTGCACATGAACCCGAAAACCCGTGCGCCGGCGATTGCGATGATTGCTTGGCGTTGGCTGGTGCATCTCTGCGGCCGCGCTAGCCAGCGCACGCTCGCGCGCGCAGCGGTCAACTAGTTTGGCGCGGCCGACGCGGCCGCGGTGGCTCTGACCGCTGGGCACTTCCGAGCGGGCACTTCAGTGCGAGTCGGTAGCTTGGGCGGGCGCGGTATCACGGCAACGCCGACAATGATAGACACGATGGTGGAGAGCAGCGATGGTGGTCACGATGGTGGCGATGACGGCAACGAGGGGAATGACGGCGCCGATATTGATCACGCCTGCCAACAATGACGACGAGGTCCTCGCGTCGGTGATGAAGGCTCTGGAAGGGCGCAAGAGCTCGCGCACAAGAGAGCGCGCGCAGGCCTGTTGTTTGACAGTTGATGTTGCGCAACCATGCGTATCATGTGGTTTCGAGACACTCGTTTTTTGCAATCCTTGCGGCACACAAAAAGGGTTTTCAAAGACTCTGGCATGCGCGCGCGACGGTGCGCGCGTGTGAACTCCGCCCCACTGCTGCAACGCGTTATTGCGACAGCACGCGCGCAAGGGCGTTCGAACGATTTCGACATGCGCGCGCGAGAGGCCCGTTTGGTAAAATGTGTTGGTCATGCTGAACAGCCGATGGTTTGCTTAAGAAGTTGCAAGAGCGCGCGCGCAGGTTTGTTGTTGAAAATCCTTGATGCGATACCATGTGTTCTTGTATGTGTGTTTTCGCGACGCTCGGTTTTGAAACCATTACGAATCCGAAAGTTGTTGAACAGTTTCGGCATGCGCGCGCGACGACTCGCACGCGTGTACATCGTGCATCGTCAATTGTTTGTTGCAAGGGATTGTTGAAACATGATGCTGCTTGTTACACGAATGTGCGCGCATAGTGTTTGTTGCCTGGGATCGACAGATCGGCGACACGTCCCTGATGGCGAATCCACACGACCCTGGGCTGGGCCTTGATCCCCCCGTGGGCCCCCACCGAGTCGCCGACCCAATCGTGCGAAGCTGCAAAACCTGCCAACAACGTATGGTGAATAGGTGAGTCTCGCCGTTTGGGTCCCCTTGGAGTCCACGGTGGAATCCCGACGGCTCAAGATGGCTGCAACACGACCCACGACGGCCTCAGGCCGGCCCAAGATAGCCCCGAGAGGGCCCCAGAGGTCTAAAAGAGGGACCGAAAAGGACCCCCAAGAGCGCCTCAAGAGAGCAAAAACAATAATTTGCCCGCCCATAACGGTCCAAGCAGCCTCCGAAAATATTCCCTTTCGGCTCAAGGGACCCCCATAAAGCCCAAGAGGGCCCCGAGAATGCCCAGAACAGGCCCCCAAAATGGTTCAAGAAGCCTTCAGGACTGCCCAAGGGGACCCCAAGAGAGCACCAAAGTGGCACCAAGAAGCCTCCAAGACGGCGCCCGCAGGGTCCAGACTGCGCGAGAGCGCTTCAAGACGGTCCACGACGCGCCCAAGAGGCTCCAAGGGGCCCCCAAAGGCCCTGAGAGGCTCCCAAAAGAGGCTTCCAAGAAGCCCCTAAGAGGCCTCATCGATGCATGCAACTTTGACAAACGTGCTAAAACGCATCACGACACCCAAGATGGTCCACAACATGCCGGAGGACGGCCCAAGGAGGCCCCGAGGCGCCTGTCGAGGCCACGCGAGGAAACATTACAAACACCTGAAACAACAAAGGAAGTCTATGATTTTGGTTTATTCTGCCTCCTAGTGGTCCTAGAGGGCCTCAAGAAAGCTCAAGATACTTCGAAACGGCCCGACGGCGCAAGAAAACCCCAAGGCGGCCCAATACGCCTCCAAGACGCCCACAGAGGCCCCCACGAGGCCCACATGAGGCCTCAGAACGACTGGGCTGTACGTGGTCCGGACGTGCACCCCCCGAAGAGAGAGAAATCCACACCACCCTGGGCTGGGTTGGCCTCTTGGTTGGGCTCTTGTCGACGACGAATGGGCGACAGGGCGGCCGATGCACTTCCACCTGAGTTCATCCTCCCCGAACGTTGCCCCTGAAATCGTCATCCTACATTCAGGCGCCTCCTACATGGGGACCCGGTAGATGGGGTCGGAAGATCGCGCCGCCTCGCCAATGCATCGGCGATGTATCGCCGATGCACCGGCGATGCATCGGCGAGGTCGGCGATGCAGCGGCGCCGTCGGCGAGGAGAACAGCGGGCTCTTCACATCGAGCCGCATCGGCGATGCATCGGCGATGCGGCGCGATCATCCGACCTCATCTCCTCGGGCCCCACCTGGGGGGCCCTAAGGACACTGCCCACGGCGGTACGACTCTGCACACCTCGGGGCCTCCCTGACCCGGGTCAAGACAAAGCTCGGGTGGGCCAGAGGGCCCCCCGAGGGCCAAGCACAGGCCTGTATGCCCGCGGCCTCGCGCGGATGCGGGCCCCTGCGCCGCGACCCCGCGGATGCGGGGCACTGTGGCTCGCGGATGCCCCGCAAGGAACACCCCGCCTCGACCGCGCATCCGCGGGATCGCGCCCCGGCATGCAGACCGCAAGGCTTGCCATGGCTCGGACGGCCATTTCCCGTGCTTGTTTGGGTTTCGCGCGTGCTCTCTCTGCTAGATGCTCCAGGTAGCTCCTCGATGATCCTCGCCGAAGAAAACATGCGCTCGTCCGAACGATACAACTTTTTCCCCCGAATGCCCCGCGAGGAACATATCCATGCGAGCGCGTATCCGCGGGATCGCGCCCCGGTAAGTATCCAGACCGCGAGGGCGCGGATACGGATATGCTCGCCGCTCACAACCCGCCGTCGCTCGGACGTCCATTCCCCGTGCATTGTTCGGTTTCGTGTATGTTTTCGTTTGGCCAGAAGGTCGAGAATGCACCTCGATGGTCCTCGCCGAAAAAGACTGCGCACGTCCGAGCGATGCCAAGATGAGCCCCGTCGAGCGGCCAGCCGCTGTAGCAGCACCCCAGCCCGGGCCAGCGGAGGGCGGAGAGGCGCAGCAGGCCAGGGGCATCGGCCCCGCGCCACGCGGCTCCCCAGCCCGGGTCAGCCCGAGGGGCGCCGCCGTTTGGCGCTGGCTCCTGCCACGCGAGCCCCGAGACATGGCCGACCCCCGAAGCCCTGAACCCAAAAATATGTCCACCTCCTGGGCACGCACCTCTTGCATCCGCCTGCTGCCGCCAGCGGAGGCGCCCTCGTCTGGCTTTCGCGAGCCTCCGCCGCCCTTCCGCCGCGGAAGAGATGGCAGCTCCCTCGGCCCTCGGGGGCGAGGCCCTGCCTGGAGCGCCTCGCATGGCCCATGACGGTGGGAAGGGGGGAGGGAGGAGGAGGAGGGAGGAGGGGAGGAGGAGGAGGAGGAGGAGGAGGAGGAGGAGGAGGAGAGGAGGAGGAGGAGGAGGAGGAGGGAGGAGGAGGAGGAGGGAGGAGGAGGAGGCGGAGGAGGAGGAGGAGGAGGAGGGAGGAGGAGGAGGAGAGGAGGAGGAGGAGGAGGAGGAGGAGGAGGAGGAGAGGAGGAGGAGGAGGAGGAGGAGAAGTGAGAGAGGAGGAGGAGGAGGAGAAGAGGAGGAGGGAGGAGGAGGAGGGAGGAGGAGGGAGGAGGAAGAGGAGGAGGAGGAGGAGAAGGCGGAGGCGGAGGAGGAGGGGGAGGTGGGGGGGGGATGAGGAGGGAAGGGCCCATACCTCCGAGGATGCGATTTTCTGTTGTTGTCCGGCCCGGCGGCTCCTCGTCGACGTCGGCCTCTGGGGCCCGCCACTGGGCCCGGGGACCACAAGGATGCGTCCGGGGCGAAGAGGCACCCCTGGGGAAGGGGGCCGGGACCTCTGGGGCCGCGGGCTGAAGCAATCACATCGGAGGATGCCCGTCGGCTGGCTGCACGCAGGAGTGACCCTGGGCACGCAAGAAGGACCCTCGGTGCGCGGCTCGTGGGCGGCCGCGGGGGGGGGGGGGCCCAGACACGAGCGCGCAGACAGCCGCCATATCGCGTCGCGCTCAGGGATCGGGGAGGGTCTCGGTGAGCCCGCACCATAGGTGACTCCGGCGAAGGGTCACTAGTCTTACGCGCAGTCGAGAGGAGGCAGGTGGCCGAGGCGGGGCTCCTCCGCCAGGTGCTCGCCCTGCGGCTGCGGCGGGGGGGCGCCGGTGCTGCGGCAGACGGCCACGCACTTCGGGTCCGCCGCGCAGCGCCTGCAGCGGGTGCGCGAGCGGGGCCCGGCGCGGCCGACCTCGAGCAACTCCCGGGAGGTCTTCGTGGGAACGATCGTTCGGCGGCGAGCCCGGGGGAGAAGCAGAAGGGGGGCGAGCCCTCTCAGAAGCCTCGGGAGGCCTCCTTTTGGCCTTCTGATGTGAGCGCCCTCGGCCTTCTGCGAGCAGATGGAGACATCAGACGGCCTCTAAGGAAGGCCAGAGGGCTTCTGAGAAGCCCCGCGGCCTTCTGAGAAGGCCTGCCCCTTATCGCTTCTCCCCCGGACGCCGAATTGCAGGAGCAAGGAGAAGCGGCACCACCACCAGCAGCACGAGGAGCCAGGGAGGGTCCTCCCGGTGGTGTGCCCCCCCCTCGTCCCAGCTCGGGTAGGCTCTCGCTCGAGACCCTCCCCACGTCCCAGCTCGGGTAGGCATCGTGGACCCCCTCGCTGGAGGTGGCCCCCCTGGTTCGGGGGGCGTCCAAGAGGGGGGCGCCCACGTGGGAGAGGGTCGCAAACCATGACCCGAGGCATGTGCGCGGACGAGGGGGGACCAGGGAACGCATTGAGAGAAGAAGGGGGGCCTGGGGAGATATCCTGGCCTCCGCCGGGATATCCCCCCCCCTGCTAGGCATCACCCTCCTCTTGGACGCCCCCGCCTGGTATTGGTGGCGTCGCCTCTCCCTTCTCCGAGAAAGTGGCGCCCGCCGCCGCCGCCGCCTCGCCCGCCCCTGGCCGCCGAGACCGCGCGAGAGCAGACAGGGGGGCAGGGTCAGTGCGGGCAAGATCTGCATCCATATAACCAGTGCGTCTTTGACTCTCTCGGTAGGGGCGCCACGAGGCCGAGGCGTACTGGGTACGGATAAACATCGAGCCTCTGGGGGGCAAGGTGACTGGAGGACGGCGTCAACCGACGAGCCGATAATCTTGAGGCTGCGGCGAAGTCTCAGAAACTGCACATTCGAAAACCGGACCCCTATTGCTAAAGCGCGATACGGCACAAATCTGGGGTGGGCTTCCCATGCTTCACGTGGAGAGGGCCAATTAGATCTCGAAGCTTCGACTGATCCGCCCCCCTGCCCCCCACCCCCCTTTGGGAGCCCTGCTGGGACCACCTCATCATCAGAGACAGGATGCAGCGGGCACCGCGCCAGCACAAAGAAGGACTGGCGAGGGAGCGGCTGGTTAACAGCACGCCGCCTACGCAGTACAGTGCGGCTACCACCGCAAGGGAAGCTGACTGAGGAAAGAATCCGATGTTCGGCACCAAACGCGCCCCGGAACACGAGGAGCGCTAAGGGAGCCACCGTGGAAGGACCTAAGTAAGAAACAGCGAACCCCTTCAAAACCCAGGGTGTTTCTTACGATAGAGGCTCGACCACAAGAAACCTTCCACAAGAAACCCAACTCTGCGACCCCAGGGCGTCCATTGATTTCTGGTGTGGGCACGCTACGCATTCCACAGCAAGACCATCGAAGCCCAAGAAACCCAGGGCACCCTGGAGGCAAGCAGGGTGTTTCTTGGCATGGGTCTACGCTAATTGCATTTCGGCGCATCGGCTGCACGCTCCCTCTGCACAACGGGCTCCAACCAAGATGGTGGCAAGGTCCGAGGCCGGCATCCGCAACAAAAAGCCCCTGGCGCACACGACGTCGCGGCCAGGATGGCAGCTTCCGGGGCGCTCTGGCACGGCGCGCGCTCTGGAAAGAGCCAGGGCGCGCGCAGGGGGGGGGCGGTGGTCCCAGACCCCCTCGGGTCATGAAACAATCTCGGGGCTGTCAGAAGACGCCACGGGATGAAAGACCGGTCCCGGGGAATGGGTCCAGACCTCTGGGGCTCAACGTCGGGGGGTGGTGGTCGCGGGTGGGCGACGACGTCCTGGAGCCCGGGCCGCAAGAGAGGACTCGGCGCCCTCTCCGCCAGTCTCTCCGCAAGGCAGCGGCAGGGCCGCAAGAGGGGTCAGGGAAAGGGCGCCGCGACCGGCAGGGGAGGACCAGGAAGGCAGCGCCCGAGAAGAGAAAAGAGGGGGCGTGCGACCGGCAGGAGGAGGCCAGAGAGGCGCGAGAGGGCGCCGAAGTCCAGCAAGTCCCAGGAGCAGGACTTCTCGAGGTGGAGCAGGGCTTTCTCCCCCAGGTCGGGCGGTGGAATCTCCATCCATGCCCGTGTGCACGATCCTGTTGCTGCCTCCCAGTCTGGCCTCTGGACGCCGAGGGGTGGGGCATGGACGGAAATGGAAAGGTGGGACCCCAAAGGCTGGATTGCTGTCGCCCTGCCCCCGCTCCACCCCCGTGTGGGGCTGCAGCGTGAGCGAGGTGTGGCGCATGGTCGAAATGTCGACCTCTTATCGTCAGCATATACATAGCAGACAGCACTTGCGACGCACACAGGGGTGGTGGCGCGAGGGGGGCGGACTTCTGAGCATGGAGAGAAACGGTGTCGATGCCGCAACTCCCCAGACCTCTCCCAGGGGGGTGCGTTCTGACCATAATTTCGAAGCGAATCCATCGGTGGCGACAAGGGCCTCCCAGGAGGCCCAGAATGGCGAAAACAAGGCGAGGGCAGCAGGATCGGTACATCGGCACATCTCCTCCTCTGAGAGGAGGCGGGGGGCTTCTGCAAGAGGGCGCGGGGCTTCTCAGGAGCTCCCGAGCGCCTCCAAGAGGCCCCCCTGCCGCCTCAGAGGCAGCCCCGCGCCTGCTCACAAGGCCGCCCCCCGGGCGCTCCCCCGGTGCGCACGCCGCCAGCTGGGGGGCCCAAAAACTGACCGACACCGCCGCCTCCCGGACGTCTCTCGGCCAGCGTCCTGGCCGGAGCCTCGAGGCGAGCCGGGCCGTGACGACGAGGAGCGGGTCGCGGCATCGGCGTCGGCACCTCTGCTGAGCAGGGGCCGGCCGTCCCGGCATTCCTAAAGGCCTACCACGACATGTCCTCAGAACCAAAGCGTGCTCTGAGGTCAAAACATGTTCTTAGAGCAAAAGCCCGATGCGTTAAAACATGACGTTCTCAGACAGACATGTTCTAAGAACATCAACAAGTTCTTAGAACATTCTTGGGTGGGCTTATAGGCGAGCCAGGACGCTTCGCCGCTGCTTGACTCTTGCCTCCTCCGACCAAGGGCGGTGCGGCGGTGCTGCCTTGCCGCCTCGTCGATGCTCGCGGTCGAGTCCACCGTCTCCGACGGCTTGTCCGCCAGCACCTCGGACGGGTCGTGCTCCTCTGGAGTCGGGCGGGTGGTAGTGGGTGGCCCAAGTGGGAGATGAAGAAATGGGCCCTAAAGGGGCCCTTTAGGGTCCATTTCTTCACCCCGTTGCGACCCACCCGATGGAGGCGGAATGCCGCTGGGCCCGGCCCCCCGCGGGCGACGGCAAAGGGGGGCGGCAAGGGGCCGAAGCGCGGACCCCCGGCCGCGCCTATGCTTGTTTCTTTCACTTCACGGGCGTGGTATATGCTGGATGGATGCTCTTGCGCACCCTGGAGAGGATACCCTTGGATGCTCGGTTTGTTTTGGCCGACGGCGGGTCTCACGTTCTGGAAGGATGCTCTTCTGGCCTAGGTCCAAACTTACACGCCCACTGCTCCCTGGCCAGGCCCATCCTGAGCCCACTAGGCGCTGTGCGCACGCCCTCCTTGCCGAGCCAGGAGGGCGTGGTGTACAGCCAACCCGTACAACAAGGACGCACGATACGGATGCAGGGGTCTTGGAAGGCCATGCCGACACGTTGCGAGCGGGGCGCGGCCAGCGACAGCGGCCAAGGATGGATCGGAGGGGAAGGACGCAAGGGCAGCCTTGGACAGTAGCGCATCCTTACTATGCGGGTTGACTGTATGCTGGGTGGCGTCACTTCGCGCGTCGCGCCCCGCGATCCGGCGCGCGGTTATCCTTGTTCTGCCACCGCGCCGCCGCCGACAACGGGCCCTGCTCAAGATGAACAGGAACTGCTGTCGGTTCTGGTCCCCTCACTTCAACCGCACCGGATTACAATCCGTATCGCTAGGCCCCCCGCCGCCTGCGAATCGGCCGACTGAGCGCACAGGGGCGAACTGAGAAGCGAGAGCAGCGGGCCCCCTCGATTTTACAACCTGATATTGCCACGACCTGAAAATGGAGGTGGGGATGATTGGTGAGAGCGATAGGGACAAGGAAGGAGTGGCCTGTTGTGGCCTTGATTAGACGACGGGGAAGACGTCCGACGAAAAAATATGTATAACCGTGGTTGGTCTCTCGGGGGCTTCTGGGAGACTGTTTTGAGGCCTCTTGGGGGTAGTTTTGGGGCATCATTTGGTCTTTTTGGACGCCTATTGGGGTTTCTTGGGGGCCTCTTGAGCGTTTCTTGGGGCCTCTTGGGGGCCTCTTGGGGTATCCTGGGGCTCTCTTGAGGCAGAAGGCTCGAATTTTCGGTTCCTGGTCCCGCTCTTGGGCCCCTCTTGGTGCCGTCTTGGGGCCCTTTTGGACCGTCTTGGGCACTTCTTGGGCCGTCTTGGGGCCCTCTTGGGCAGTCTTGGGGCCCTCTTGGGGGCCTCTTGGGCCGTCTTGGGGCAGTCTTGGAGGCTTCGTGGGCCGTCTTGGGGCGTCGGAAAGCCGAAAAGGCGCGAAGTCCAAAATCCTTCAGAAACCTTCGGAAAATTGTTGATTTTCACCTCTTAGGGCTCTCTTGGGCGGCTAATTGGAGGCCTCTTGGGGCGTCTTGGCGGCCTCTTGGGCCATCTTGGGCCCATCTTGGGCTGTCTTGACCGCTCAGTCGGTGACCGTGACTCGTTACGCTCGTGGGTCATCTTGCGGACCCTCTTGGAGCCGCCCGTGCCTCCCGGAAGCGCGTCTGCAGAAATACGGCCATCTTCCGCCGGCGTTCTGCGCGTGTCCGGGGCCCTGTCCCGGGGGGTCCCCCCCCCAGACCCCTCTAGGGGGACACTAAACGGGAACCCCTCCGCCAGGTCGGGGAAAAACCCGCCTCCTTCCCCTCCTGCTCCTCGTCAACCTCCGTACCCCCCTGCCCCTGTTCTCTCCGCCTCCTCTTCCTCCTCCTCCTCCTTCTCCTCTAATGTTGATGTCAAATCCATCCCTCCGCCTCTTCCTCCTCCTCCTCCTCCTTTTCCTCCTCCTCCTCCTCCTCCTCCTCTATCCTTCTCATTCCTCCCTCCCCTCCGTCCCCATCCGTCTCCTCCCCCATATTCCCGCTCTACTTGCACCTGCAACAAATACCGATACCGCAACTCTTCGGACCTCTCCTGGGGTGCGTTCTGAGCAGAATGTTGAAACGAATCCAGCTGTGGCGACGAGGGCCTCCCAGGAAGCTCCAAAAGTCGAAAACGAGGCAAGGGTAGCGGTATCGGTACATTTTCCTCCACCTCCCTGCCCCACTACTAAAAGAACGGCGCCAACGCACCGCACCATGTTTGGACTCGCTCCAGGCCCCGCTCAAACGCGGTACGTTGCATGCTTTCCAGCTCTGAGGGCCGATAGGCAGTGCACTGCATCTCTGTCGAGCGATGGCAGAACTGGGTTTAGTGGGACCTGGTCTAGTGATGTGTACTGGGGGACGCCCCCCCCCCCGCCCCGTTCCACTAGCCGGAACTGCCGTCACCCGAAAAACACCAGCTACGGCAAACCTGGTTCATAGATTCTGTCCAATTCCGGGGCTCCGCGGCCCTACCACTAACCGGGCCCCCTTACCTGGGCCCCTGGCCACACCCGAGTCTGGGTCGAAGATCGACGACGCCCCGGGAGATGCCAAAACACGGTACGGTGCATTCGAGTTGTCCCGAGGCCCCTCCTGGGGCGCGTTCAGCTGAGAACTGCGATGGGAACTTAGCCATGGCGACAAGGGCTCCCCAGGACGAGCAACGGCATCGGCATCTTTGCCTCCTCTGATCTCTCTCCCCCCTCCTCTGGCCCCCGCCCCTGCCCCCCGAGGCGTCTCCATCTGCTTCAGCCACGACAGGCGCCTCTCCACCTCATTCGCCTGCTAATGGGGGGTCAGACTTCGGGGGGTCAGAGTCAGCGAAGGGCAAACTAAGGGAATCACAGTTTCTGATATCCAGACTGGCCCAGGCGACGAATTCCCAAAGGAATTACATTGGACAAACACAGGAATGCATACGATTTGAAACAAGCACGGCCCCGAACAGAGAAACTCCAAGAAGTTGTCCCATCTTCTCCTGATCCCCAAAAGCTGACCCCCGTTAGCATCAGGTCGGGCATCTCCACCGAAGGCTCCAATGGCAGGGTTCGCATGGCGGCCTCGGGCCATTTCGGCACACCCCTCACGAGGATCGTGGCCCCATAGGGAGCTCCACCGAAGGCTGCAGTGGCAGGGTTCGCATGGCGGCCTCGGGCCATTTCGGCACACCCCTCACGAGGATCGTGGCCCCATAGGGAGCCCCGCCGAAGGCGCCAGTGGCAGGGTTCGCATGGCGGCCTCGGGCCATTTCGGCACACCCCTCACGAGGATCGTGGCCACATAGGGAGGTCCTCCCACAGGCGGGTTTTGGACGAACACTAAAAAAGGCCCCCCAAATGCTCAAGCAGTGTTGAACGTACCAGTAGTAAAACATCGTCCCCAGACGATTCCTTGGACTACTTTTGAATTTACCCCCTGTAAAGGGACACGTCCGACTTCACATTTTTAACGGGCGAAGAACGGTATAACATAAACGTTTTCGCTGTCGGGGGCGCCTGCCCCAGGGCAGCTGGGAAGCTTCTACCCTTACGGTGGCACCGTAGGGGTATAAACTTTCCAGCCGCCCAGGGACAGGCGCCCCCGACAGCGAAAAAGTTTATGTTATACCGTTCTTCGCTCGCTGAACATTAGCAGGCGAAGGACCACCTCCTCGGCCCGCGCGTCCCTCAGCGCCGGCCCGGGCCTCGCGCCCGGCGCGGGGCCGAACATGCCGCAGCCGACGTAGAAGGCGGCCGCGCCCGCGCCGGCGCGGCGGCCTCGCGCGAGAGCCGAGGAGCCGACACGGAGGCCCGCCCTGACGTCCACTGGTTTTTTGCTTATACATGCATATATACATACATACATATATACATACGTACATACATATATACATACATACATACATACATACATACATACATACATACATACATACATACATACATACATACATACATACATGCATACACACATACATTTACATATACAGTTACATATACATATGTGTATACATATATGTAAATATATAAACTCCAGGTTCCAGGTTCCTGGTTTCAAGGCTCGAGGTTTCGACACTTTCCGCCGCTTCCTCTGCGGTCTTCCAGCCTCGGGGTGCCTTCCAGCAGTTTCGCCTCGCCGAGGGTATTCCCGAGGGTGCCCCCGGATGCGAACGGCCGCCGGAGAGCCGCGTTATGACCCGAAGGCCAAGGACGTCCACTTGATGTGAGCGAGAACTTCTGCTCGTTTTCGGTCTCCCGGGGGCCCTGGCCAGCCCCAGGGGGGCATCAAGAAACGACTCGGAATTGAGCGCCAGCCCAGGAGCAGGGGCCTGGACCTCTGGGGTTCGGTCGGGCATGTCCTCCTACAGGCGCATTTCGGAAGACAAATAGGAATAGCCCAAACAGAGCAATCAATAATCAAACAAGTAGAACAAATCTTCCCGAGACTCTTTTTTTAGAATATCCTTGAACATTCCTCCTGTAGAGGGACACGCCCGACTCAACTCTTGGAAGCCAAGTTGCGAAACAAAATAAGTCGGGTGTCTGAGAGGGTGGACACGGCGGCAAAAGGTCGGCAAACAGTTCTGTCCGTGAGTGCGTCGTGCCTCGGCGGCTTCCCCTCTTCTTCACTCCTCTTGCTCGGCAGATCACCGCCGCCCGTCCTCGCTGCCAGGCAGCGGGACGGTGGAGCTCCAGGGCTGTTTGGGTGGGGGGGGGGGGTTCTGTGCTCTGCCGCTCTTCTGCCCCCCCCCCCCACCCTCCCCCGCGAACAGCCAAGCGCCCACTGGCTTGGCCTCCCCCTTCTCTCTCCAGGCGTTGCCGAAAGACGGCCGTCGAGGCGGCGGGAACGGCCGTCGGAGGACCAGGGACGACTCTCGAGAGGCACCCGGACCCGCCCAGACGCCCCCTGAGAGCTGACTGGCAGCCGAACGGCCCCCCGGAAGGCCCCAAGAGGCGCCCGAGAGACGCGAGGAGGCCCCCAAAGAGACGCCCCGAAAGCGTCCCTCCCAGGATACGCGCGGAGCCCTACAGAAACTACCCACACCGCGGTTCCTCGACAAGCGATTGCACTGCTGGAAGCGGCCGCGTTCGCCAGAAGTTGAAACAGAGGGAGAGAGAGAGAGAGAGAACACAGAGAGAGAGGCAAACCACAACATAAAGAGAGACACAGAGAGAGAGAGAAATAAACAAGGGGGAGAGAAGGAGAGGAATAGGGAGAGACAAAGACGGAGACACAAGCAGAGACTCTCTGTCGGTCAGTCTGTCTGTCTGCCTGTCTGTCTGTCTTTCTGCCCGAAGGGCTGTCTTTATGCTTTATGTATCTCTCCCTACACATATATATGTCACTATATATCGCTCTCTCTCTCTCTATGTGTATATGGATTTGCGTTATGTATCGTTCTAGGTTTACACATGGTTGCACATAAGCGTACACAAGCATGTACATATATAGTTGTTCCCACACGCATCGACGTATAGACCTATAAATATGTATACCCTGTCTCGCCACGTCCACAGAGAGACACGCAGCGAACTCAACATCGCGGGGGGCCCAAACCTTCATAAAGAGAGACGAACCGGAAACTCCACATCCAGGACAGTGATGTCTTCGGAGTGCCTCCAAAGGCTCCCAAGATGCTCCCTCCTCCTCTTCCTCCTCCCCCTCCTCCTCCTCCTCCTCCTCCTCCTCCTCCTCCTCCTCCTCCTCAACACCGGCCCGCCGGTGTCACCCCTGGGAGGCGGCCACCTATGCCTCGGACATCTTCCGCACAAGCTCCGAGGACCGAAATGCGGGACAAGTTTTCTGGTCACTCGAAGACCGAGCGGAGGAGGAGGAGGAGGAGGAGGAGGAGGAGGAGGAGGAGGAGGTGTCATCGTGTTCGACGCCCCCGGCTGAGGGAGGGCCTGCCGGCGCCCGCGCCCCGCATCGCGGCAGCCCCGGCGGCGGTGCCGCCGGCGGGCCCGGCGGCTCCTGCAGCGGGGCCCGCGGCGAGCGGGCGGGGGGGGGGGCTTCTCGTCCTCGTCCTCGCTCCTCGTCGTCGTTCCTCATCCTCCTCGATTCCTCGTCGTCCTCCTCCACTCCTCGTCCTCCTCCGTTCCTCGTCCTCGTCCTCCTTCCTCGTCGTCCTGCTCCAGTCCTCTCCTTCCTCCTCGTCCACCTCACTCGTCCTCCTGGGCTTCGCCTGAAGCTTCCTCATCACTCATGATGCTTCACATGAAATGCACCAGGTGTTCGCAGATGGAGGGCAGCCCGTTTCCAAAATGTGGCTCTCCCCTTCACGCCGCGCACAATCGCGTCCTAAAAGTTGGCAAGAGCTTCACGGATGGAGGGCAGATGGTGTTCAAAATGTGGCTCTCGCCGGAGCGCCGCGCGCATTCGTTCTAAAAGTTTGCAGGAGCTTCACGGATGCAGGGCGGTTTTCAAAGTGTGCCTCTCGCCCGAGCGCCACACACACTCGTCCTTTTAAAGTGTGCAAGAGTTTCACGGATGGAAGGCAGGTGGTTTACTCTGGCCTGAGGGCCGCGCGCACTCGTCCAAAAAATGTGCAGGTGCTTCACGTGTGGAGGCCGGTACCATTTGCAAAATGTTGCTCTCGCCTCAGCGCCGCGCACACTCGCCGCAAGAGTTCACAACAGTTCCAACGATTCGTGTCGTTGACGTCCCAGAAACAGTGTCTCGGCACGATGTGAGATTCTCAGGGCGCAACAGTTACGCTGATTCGCAGGGTTGGTGTCCCAGGAACGGTGTTCTGGCACGATTCTGGCTCGACCTGACGCAGCAGTAACGTTGATTCGTGGCGCTGAAGCCACAGGAACGGTGTTCTGGCACGGTTCATGATTTTCAAACGGTTGTCTTCCAACGGGGCACTTCCGTCAATGAACATGAAACCTTGCAGCGACACGTGAACGAGACTTGGAGGGAGGGCAGATTGCATCATCCTTGATGGGTCTTGGGCTTACCCTCCTCCTCCTCTTCCTCCTCCTCCTCCGTCTCGTCTTCTTCCCTCTTCTTCCTCCTCCCTCCTAGTCCTCCCTCATCTTCCTCCTCCCTCCTTGCCCCAGAGTTCCTAGACCTGGTGAGGAGCTGAATGCAGAGAACTGTCTTGAATTCTCCCCCCGTCTCTCCTCGCCTCCGCCTCCTCTTCTTCCCTGCCTCCCTCCCTCCCGCGCGCAGCTCGAGCGCATCGACGCCCAAAGCGAGGAGGCCCGCCGACGTCGAGCACTTCGGCGGCAGGCGGCGCGCGACGAGGACGCGAGGAGGCTGGCCCCGTGGAGGGGCAAGGTCTCCTGGTCCCACGCCTTTCAGCCAGCCCCTTCCAATGTATTCTCTCAGTCTCCCTGGGCCAAAAGCTCCTGGGGAAGGGAGACTCCAAGTTTGACCACGGCACCTCGCCCATGGCATCGTCCCACCACCACCTCGTCCTCCTCGTCCTGCTCCCTTCTCCTCCTCCTACTCCTCCTCCTCCTCCGCAAGTTGCGCAAGCTTCAAGTGCTATGCTTGTAGCGTGCGTCCTCCTCCTCCTTCTTCTCCTCCACCTCCTCCTCCTCCTGCTCCTCCTCCCCCTCCTCATTATCCCTCCTCCCTCCTCCCTCCTAACTCCCCCCTCCTCCCTTACCTCCTCCCACCTCCCGCCGCCGCCGTCTCCTCGTCCTCCTCGTCCTCCTCGTCCTCCTCCTCCTCCTCCTCCTCCTCCTCCTCCCCCCTCCTCGCTCCTCTTCTCCCTCTTCTCCCTCCTCTTCTCCCTCCTCTTCTCCCTCCTCCTCCTCCCTCCTCCCTCTTCCTTCCTCCCTCCTCCCCTCTCTTCTCCCTCCTCCTCCTCCTCCTCCTCCTCCTCCTCCTCCTCCTCCGCCTCCTCCTCCTCCTCCTCCCTCCTCCTCCGCCTCCTCCTCCCTCCTCGAGTTTGGGCGTCGGGCGCGCAGAGCGAGGGAGGCCCCTGCGTGTCGCTCCCCGCGCCTGGCGGGGGGGGGGGCCCTGCGCCCCGGCGCGGTGCGTCAGGCCGAGCGTGCCCGATGACCTCTTCTGAAGTCCCGAAATGGTGCGGTGACAGACCGTGCGGTGACCTCGAAAGCCCCCAAGACCTCACCGCACGGCCCGTCCGCGCACGCTTTTGGGACCTCGGATGCCCCAGTGGCCCGAGACGTCCTCGGAGAACGACCCGAGTCCCAGGACCGTGCAGTGACCCCGAATCCCCACAGACTCACCACACGGTGTGGTCACCACCCCGTTTGGGGGCACCCGACCTTTTGTGTTCAGTCCCAGGTGACGGTCTTTACGGGGGACGGTCACGAAAAGCTAGACGACGACGCCGAAGCGCAGGCGGACCAGGAGGAGGAGGGGGACGACCACGAGGATCAGGATGAGCAGGAGGAGAACGAGGAGGAGGAGGAGGAGGAGGAGGAGGAGGAGGAGGAGGAGGAGGATAAGGAGGAGGTGGGGGCCGCCTTCCTCCCTCCTCCACCCTCTCCCTCCTCTTCTCCCTCCTTCACCCTCCTCCTCCTCCTCCTCCTCCTCCTCCTCCCTCCCCCTCCTCCCTCCTCCTCCCTCCTCCTCCTCCTCCTCCTCCTCCTCCTCCTCCTCCTCCTCCTCCTCCTCCTTCTCCCATCCCCCCCTGTGGGTCTTCTGTATGGCATGTTTTTCCCCTTGTGGAACCAACCCTCCAGCCCGGACGCTGCTAGGGAACACCGCGACGGCCGCCCTCTCCGACGTCGTCGGCCTCCTGCGGCCGCCTT